TCGAGAGGATGCAAAACGAGCAGGAACAGGAGCAGGAGAAGCAGGGGGGTTTGGAGCAGGCGCAGGAGCAGGAGCAGGTTCTCACAGTGACGGGAGAGACGTTCCCGCTGATAGCTGCTGCCCATGCCGTGTTGGAAACGAGCTGGAGGGCAGTCAGCAGAGTTTGACCAGGAGGATAAAGTAGCGAGGCGACAATCAGGAAGTCGCAGAATGAGAAAGGGTATCAGTGAAGGAGAGGTTGGGTGGGGATGATAGAAGGAGGGAGAGAAGCGAGGGGAGGTGAGGAGTAAGGGGCGGGGGGAACAGACAGCAGCAGGTGGAGGAGAGTGAGGAGGAGGAGAGTGAGGAAGAGGAGAGTGAAGAGGAGTAGCAGGAGGAGGAGGATGGGAAGGGGGAGGGGGAGGAACACCTGGGGGGTTATGGTCTGGTTGGTGTGGTCGGATGAGGAGGAGATGTAGTGGACGAGGAGGTTCTGAAGGATGGTCAGCTGGAGGAGGAGAAGGAGGAGTCTGAGGTTACAATGACATCGTCGTCCTGGTAGTTGAGGTATGCAAAGGATCTCAACATGCCGCTGACTTGCTCGGTCGAGAACACGCTGGGAGGATGTGAGAGAAGAAGGGAGGATGTGAGAGGAGGAGGGAGGATGTGAGAGGAGAAGGAAGGAGGAGGGAGGGGAGGGGAAGACTGACAGTTGCTGGTGGGACGGAGAACTTGGCAGATGAGACTTGACGAGCCTGAGCGCAGCCGTCAGAAAAAGGTGGAGGGAAAGGGTGAGGGAGGAAGAGGGAAGCAGATGGAGCAGTTAAAGCAAGGAGGAGGAGGCAGTGGAGGAGAGGAGGAAAGGAGGAGAGGGAGAAACAAGGACAGGAGGAGAGAAGGGCAGAAGGGGAAGGGAAGGGAGGAGGATCAAGAGGAGCGAGGGGACCTTGAGAAATGAGCAAGGAGACTCTCGTCTCTGAACTGACATCTTGCCATGGACATGATGAAGTTCTGCAGACGGTCGAGTCAGCAGCAGCACGAGGATCCAAGGACCAGCACCGCAATGCTGGCGTCGGAGAACTCCGCCGCCGCCGCCCGCTGAGCTGTGGAGGACAGAGCTTGCAAGACTCGGAGAATCTTTGTCTCTGTTTGCGATTTCTCCCTACCCAGGTTCTCGTACCTGCAGGCTACGAGGTGGAAGAGGGAGGAGAGGACCCTGACGGAGGACTCTCTCGCTATCTTCTCTGGCAGAGAGTCGAGCATGAAGGTCCAGATGGGCTGAGAGACCGAGTGAGAGGGTTGAAGATGATAGTCAAGGTGAACAGAGAGCCGTCATCATCATCAGCATCATCATCATTACCACCACAACCACCACATCATTATCATCATCATTTCCATGACCATCACAATCAAAATCATCAACAACACATAATCGTCGTCATCATCTCAATCATCATGATCTCCATCAGCAACTCACATGCCCCCATGTCTCCGATCTCGTGAGAGCCGTCATGAAGTGAACAATGTCCTGCGAGCTCACGGCGTGCGAGCAGCGCCTTCCGATCTTCTCAGTGGCGGAGCAGAGGAGGTCGATGCTCCTGGGAGGAGCATCATCATCAGAAAGGGAATCGCCGAACAGCATGAAACATCTGCACAACATGGAAGACGGGTCTTGCAAACATGCAAACATGTTTGCACAACAGTAGGTCGCTCAACAGCATCTAAGATTCCTCTCTCCTCATCACATCATCATAGCCAACATGCCAACCTGTCCCGCTGCGATCTGCTGATCCATCTCGCATCGTAAGCGCGGGAGAGGAGCAAGCAGAGGATGGAGCATGACGAAGGGTTGTCAAGCTTCATATCGCCGTGCATGATCTCGTCAACAAACCAAGACAAGCATGTCTGCGCAGCACGCTGCTCCCTCTCCTTTCCGCCAGCTGACGACGCGCCCACGAGTTGGTGCGACAGGACGGCTTGCAGCATCTTGACCGCGTCGAACAGCACGAGCGTCTTGCCCTTGGCATGCTGCAGGTAGCGAGCTGTGAACTCCAGCAGCTCGACTTGGAGGAGGCCGCTGCGGCATGAAGACGACAGGACGGCCGCCAGAGTGCGATGGTCGGGGATCCGGACCCTTCCCTCCATGATCAGCTGCAGCTTGTCAGGCGCATCAGGGAGGGAGAGGAAGTCAACGACCGAAATCAGCGGCTTCAAGAGCTCTGGGTCCTCGATCTTGAGCCGTTCGTAGGCGGAGAAGATCAGGCATGCGGAGTGGGAGGTGAACTCTCCCTCCTGCATGCTCCTCCGGATGTTCTGAGAGGAGCGGGAAACGTCAGGATCCGGTCGGGGAGGAGCGGAACAGCTGATGAGGCATCCCCTTCCCTTGTCCTGTTCACCGAGCTTGTTCATCCCCTTCTTCCTATTTCTACCTCCTTGGTATCTTTTCCACCGCCCTATCTATCTTTCCTCCTTTCACTTCCCATCTTCCTCCCTAAGTTTCAAAACAGTTCTTATCTCACTCTCACTCTCACTCTCACTCTCACTCTCACTCCTCCTCCTCCTCCTCCTCCACTTCCTCCTACTCCACTTCCTCCTCCTCCACATCCTCCACCACATCCTCAACCACCACCACCTCCTCCTCTTTCCCTCCTCTCACCTGCGCAAGAATCTGAAACAGCTCCTCGTCAATGATCTCGGCATGAGCAAAGGCGTGCAGAATCATCGCTGCTGCCTGCATCGAGATGTATCCTGGATTTTCCTCCCTCCTCACTCCCTCCTCCCTGTGCTTCTTCCCGATCCTCTCCAGCTGCTTGAGGCGCCCCGACGCCTTCTCAAACAGTCCCATGTACACACACGTCCCCATCCCCTCCTCCTCTTCCTCCCCCTCTCTCTGCCTCCCATCCTCCACTGCATCCTGCTTCCTCCCTTCCTTCCCTTCCTTCATCCCAGGGCACTCCGCCCTGCCATCCAGCACGCTGGTCACCGAATTCAGCAGGAGGGCCACTTCTTTAGATGACAGGTAGCGCATCCCGTCGTCTGCCATCGTTGCCAGTGTCCCCATCACTGCCTTCATCCTCCTTCCCAGCTCTTCGTCCTCCTCCAACTGCCCGCTGAGCCGCTTCACATGGTTCATAGCAATGACGCTGTGCTTCCCGCTCAGCGCTCCTCCTGCTCCCTCCAGACAACATTCCAGGTCTACCAGGAGAGCAAGCAGCGATCTGTACTTGGCCAAATCCCGCGGAAGCTGCCCCCTCACTACAGTCCGCGCAGGGCTTGACCAGGACCCGAACCAGCTCTCGTTGCTCTCCCTCCTCCTCCTCCAACCCACTGCCGCCTCGCTCGCCACCAGGGGCACGATGATGTTGTACCGCCCCCTCCTTGCTGCGCTCCTTGCCACAGACTGGCACCATCCGAGCTGGTCCGACAGAGTCTGGATCCCTGTGCTCCCTCCATCCTCCTTGGAGTCAACCGCCGCCTCCCTCGTCCTCCTCGTCCTGACGTCTATAGTCTCTCTGCAGTGCTCGTTCCCTCCCAGGTACTGGACGGTCACTCGATGGAAGTCTAACATGCCGACGACAACGGCAGGCTTCCAGTCACCCTCCACTTCAACCTCCACCACCTTGCCGCACTCAACGAACTCAGTCACCTCACCATCTTGAGGCCCTTGGGAAGCGGGGGGGGGGGAGGAGGAGAAGGACGAGGACGAGGACGAGGACGAGGACGAGGACGAGGACGAGGGGGAGGAGGACTTGTCCTGATTCTTTGGCGGGATATAACCGTGTGACTGGGCTGGATCCCTGCGAAAAGAGGCCTCCGATCGAGGACAACCCTCATCCACCATGCTGTAGAGGGTCCTGCTGCAGATTCGCCTTTCCGAAGGCATACATGGCAGCAGGCCATGAGAGAAGAGAATCGATGCTCGTCTATGCTGCTGACGATGATGCGTATCCTTGAACACTTTGACCCTCGTGCTCTTGTAATGCACCATGGAATTTAATGGAACATGGAAGGTGTTGATTTCCGGCTGAAGAAACAACAGCATGACAAACAACCGTCCAACTACCCCCATGGTCTTCATCATGTCTACCCCTTTCTCCATCCTATGATAAAACGAAGCTTCCTCTGCTTCCAGAGGATGTATGTACCAGCAGACAGCCCTCGCGTCGTCAGAACATGTCACACAGGATATGACAGGAACGTGCAGGAGTTACGACAGAGGTATTGTTCGCACGAGGTAGGAGTAGAGCTGCCCTTCGCCTTATGTTGGAGAGAGGTTGGTGTTCGCTTTTGACCCTGTTCCCTTCCTGTCTCCTCCTCCTCTCCTCCCTTCTGCCATCGGCCTCGCTTCCCCTTGTCTGCACCATCCTGGGTGCGCCCGAAAAATTTGTCCTTCCGTCGAGGGCTTACATGTTTATCAGATTGCTTGAACATTGCTTGAATTATTTCAAAATCAAGACATCTTGATTTGAAATATGTTACTTTGATTAACAAAGGTATGCCCTTGCCGCGATTGTAGATGGAATCAAACACCACTTTCTATCAACGATGGGGTGAAATGGGAATGGATTCTCCCATGAGGTAGGGGTAGTGATGTTCAGGGGTAGTCTAAATTCTACAATCCACAGGGTTCATGGATATGGACAAATACTTATAGGCTTTACTATAAAATTATTGATAATTAGAGCTAGGGTTCAAAAAAGGTCGAATATTGATGCGGGACGAAGGGTGGGGGGTGGAGGCCACTGGGGCACCCCCAGTGATTGTTATATGGTGAACAACGGGTAGTACATCTGACTCTAGAGGGGGTGGGGGTTATTTTTTCACCGGGTCTATTGTAGATATGTGGTAGGTAGAAATGAGGGTGGGGGTAGTTCTCGAGCTTTGGGACCGAGGGAGGTAGAATGAATAGATCAAGGGTGGGGTATATGATGAAATGGATGGGTAGGTAGGTGGTTGTAAATGCTGAAAAGATGGTGGGTATAAGAGGGTCTTGTTGTGGGGTGGGGTCGGTTTGAAGGAGAGGGTGGGTGTACGACATGTAGGGGTGGGGGTATTCATGTAGTTGGAATCAAGTTGTGGGTGAAAATGGAGGTGTTGCGGCGTGACGCGCGACATGTGGTACGACGTGCGCTGAGGATGGCGAGGGACTGGAAGCAGATCGTGAGGAAGCGAGAGGAGCGAGACGACGAGAAACTCGAGAAAGAGATCGTCTACATCCGGTCGGAAGTGAGGTGAGTTGCGTTCCTAGCGCTGGGTAGGGGCGCAAACGAGAGGGTGCTCGCGGTCAGGGGTTTGTTGGAGATGCTTTGTCATGTTTGAAACGTTGATGTGTGTTTGAATGTGTGAACAGACTTGTTCCCCTGTGGGATGCCTGTTTGTGTTGTGTGCTATAGGTTTTGAGGCGCGCTTGAAACCGCGAATGCTCCATTTCCCCCCGCTGGTTGGTGGGCGCTGATTCGTTCGTGTGTGCTCCTGTCGCAGGTCTACGGTTGAAGCAAATCGCAACCTCACATCATACTCACAGATCCGAGAAGTCATTCAGAACTCAAATGACAGGGTTGACTTGATATTGCACTATCGTATTCCCTATCCTCGCTACCATTACGTGTACGACGAGACCAGGGAATTGCAACATGTTGATGGTTCCAACTGCATGGAACTTGAGGGCCATATCTTGGATATTCCAGTATCTCATAGCAGGACCTGAAAAGCTCTTGCAACTCGTTGATTGTACAATACGCTTCTCATGTCAACGTGAGACCGACATCGTAACGTGTCGGTCCGACATATCGTAACGTGTGCGCACCATGGCGTGTTAAGGAGCATAGCAGTCTGATGGTGTGGGTGTCTTTGTGAATAAAGGCATGCCGATGGATTCATCTCACATTCACATTCGAACATATCGACACTTTCCATCACCTCCCGAAGAACTTCTTTAGCTGCAAGAATCGCTCTTTCATGAACCCGCGAGATGTCTGGGCGGGGCTGGAGTTGGAGGAGGTGTTGGCGCTCGCTGCCCCCTCGATAGGACTAGTGGTAATGCTCAGTATGAGAACATCGGTCCACACAAGAACACAAGCACTCACCTCCTCAAGTATCTCCTGACTGGAGTGCTGTGCAGAGAGCGATTGCCCAGGCTGAGAGTGTTCCTCCCCGTTGAGCTGAGGGTTATGGGTGTGAGGGGCAAGCGACCGAGATGGGGAGAGCACAAACCTCCTGGGGTTCACCATCCTTGTGCTGTAGCGCTCCCTTGAAGCCTCAGCTGTGTATCTTTCGCTCGTTCGACTGGCCCTGGACAGGAAAATGAACAACATACAAAGTCGGAAGGGGAGGGCAGACCTTTCATGGTGGTTCATCATCACTTGCACGTTTCTGCTTTGTCTAGACACAACAGCGCGATGCTCTTGGGTCTTGCCGGTGCGTATGCTGATGCCCACCACCATCAGCGCCTCTAGGCTAAGATTACAATCGAGACGACCTGATCTTGCACACAGGGCAGAAATGACTCTCTGAAAGCCATTTGCTCGCACAACTGAAGCGAGCAAGGTCAGCATATCAAAGAAGGGGGTTTAATCTCAAGGCTCACTTGGAGTGGAATTGATGAAGACATGGGAGAATTTTCACTTCTTGACCGACCTCGTACTCGCACAAGCAGATCAAGCACTGATGACGAGTCAAAAGCGCAAGGTTCGAAGGAATCAAAGCTTACCTCTGGATTTTCCTCAAAATTTACAATCTGTGCCACAAAAATGTCAGTGGAAAAAGTCTGAAATCGATAGCGACAAGCCTGGTCCTCTTGTATGGTATACACGGGGAGTTCCTGCAAGGCAGTCAAAACCTGTGCATGCAAGAATCAGATCTCAAACCTCGTGTGAATGGACCCCCGCGAAGATGGGTTTGTTGAAAGATCGCACTCTGCGCATCGGAATCAAAGGACATTAGAGTTAAGCCGTCCGCTGCCAAACGCTGCCAAACCTTCGGTGAAGCGCCAGCTCTTCCTCCTGCCACCATCATCACCCGGACACGGATTCGTAACATCACCGTCACCTGCAGCATCATGGCTAACAGCAAGTCCGTCTCTTCCGAGAAATATGTATCCGCTCTGCACGAAAAATTTCAGATGTCTTGATAAGAAACATGCTCCTCACGGTACCGCTCTGGATGTGGTGACGCTTCATCCAACACCCCTGCCACCTCAGGATCGCGCCCTGCAGCTTCTTGCCCTCCTGGGTCAGGATGCTCTTCGGATGGTATGAATGTGACGATGTCATTGTCTGATTCGTGATCATTGTCCTCAACCGATGCTGCAGAATGATTGCGCCGATCAGTCCGGTACCATTCGATGAGCAAAAAACCGTCACCTTGAGCAGTGGTAGGAGCAACTTCTACTGTGCGCAGCTTCGATGACTTGGGACTAATGTTCATCGCCACTTGCTCAGCAGACACCCGGCGAAATCGATCTGAACTGCTCTCCATCGTATCCCCCGCGTCATCCCGATGGTCATGCACTGCCTCTACAACTCCATCCTCGCTCTCGTTCTCCAACTGATCGGCTGGCATCAATGCCTTCTCTGTGATGTCTCCCGGAGCATCCGAGGTCATATCTTTCGATCGATCGTTGAGGTCATCCGTTGATTCGTTCTCGCAAATGGCTTGACTGTTCACGTTGGGAGTTTGTTCTGTACACGTCGAGCTCATCTTCGGCAGAATCCAAGAGGTGATATTGAAACACTTATTAAGTAGGTTATTACAGCTTCACTTAGAAGCTGGCATGGTCTTGTTAGACATTAGACTTCTCTTTCTAACTCCTTCTCGAGCGTCACGGGCAGCCTGCATCGAAGTGTTAGAAACGAGCCCCGTATATACAAAATGTAAGCGTAAATTGTGCACACGATCGCTAGATTGTTGTATGATTCCGCTCCTGCATGTCTTTCGGCACTCCTCGAGTCATCACCGGTGCTTCAACAAGAAAGGTTGTTGGCAGGCAAACAGGCAAACAGTGGAAGCAAAAATCAGCCTTATCTCTCAAATCTTAAAGGAATTGGTACAAAGACAAGTTGGGATCTCGTGGTTTCCAAAAAGTCAAGGGGGCAGACTCTGCATCACGGTCTACATCACTCCCTCCACAGAGTGCGCTTCGTGGACCGCAGGTACAAACCTTACTTCGAGGCTTGAGGCCTCCGATCAGCGCCTCCTCTTCTGCATCTAGTCCTGTGTACATGCTGGGGCTCGTTTGTTCTAATGTGTCCCCTGCTCTGTTTTGCTTCCTCCCTCCTGATCACTCGGCATCGCGGCCCTTCCCCATCGCAACCGCCATTGAAGATGCGCTCATCGCATTGCCCCCGCCCTACCTATCGTTTGAAGGTTGTGAAGTTGAGATCCGGATCTCAAATTTCAGAAACTGTAAATCCATATTTCAATATTAACCATAAAATTATGCAAAAATGAATGAAATGATGAAACTTTATGCCACACACAGAAAACAATTGCGCGTACAGCAACCCCTCTACCTCTCCTACGTCTCACGGTCATAGGTGTGATAGCCACCAGCCTCAATCATTCCGCTTTACTCAACTAGGACAATAATTATGGAAGGCATCAAATCCCTTTCATAGGAGAAGCACTAGGAAAGGGGGAAAAGCTCCAGCTGCCCTTCTCGGTTAATTAGGGTAGGGTATGCACCCTTCCGAAACATACAAAGGACTTTTAAAACGCTGGTTTTAGAAGCGCGTCCACGTACTCATTCTTAACTTAACTTTGAGTAAACGTTTTAGAGGCAGGCAAGATTTCCGGGGGACTCGGGCCGGCCGGCGGGCCCGGACAACCCAGAACTCATACGTCACTGAGCACCATTATCGGGCCCGCCTCAGGCTGCGGTGTCGGGGCATGTCGCACATGTCGGGGGGGAGGCGGGCCGTATGGCTGCTGGCGCTGTTGATCATGGGGATGGCGATGGCAGGGGCGGGAGCTGGTCATGATGGCGGAAACGAAGGAGATGCGCAGAGTGAGGTCAGGAGGCGGATGCAAGAAGCTGATCATGCTCCGCGGGAGAATCCTGGGAGGAAAGGTGAGGCCTGGGCAATGTAGAGAGGGAGGATGGGAGGGAGAGGGAAGAAGGAAGAAGAAAGCTTTTTCACACCGAGTAACATGAAACGCTCATGTGCCCATGTGCTAGAAAGTGATGTGAGGATAGGCTCGACTGTGGCTGATGGACGCAAGAACGAGCCATTGACTTCGCCTGTAAGGAGGAGAAGCTATGCGATGCGCCTGCTCCTCTTGCCGAGAGACGTGATGGCCTTTTTGGATTTGAAAGCCCCTGACATGCCCATAAGGTGCTTGTGACCGCCCTAAAGAGTGTGGTTGGCTTCTTCGCTGCGGCCAGGGAGGGCTGCATGGTGTTGAAGGAGTCAAGGGACCCTCAAGCTGGGCGCTGGTAGCTCTTGTTCCTGACTTGACGGGATCCCTCACGAGGATGGCAGGAGGGGGATAAGCGTCGTGCTTGTCTACTTCGCGTTCCTCCCTGAGCTGCTGCATCCCATCGAGAACATGTTGAGGTTCCCCCTCGCGGTGTTCTCGCTGTGGTTCTTCGCATGCCGGTAAGACCGGGGTATCGAGTGCTGCTGAGGGGCTGACAGGATGCGGCTGCAGGTACTGGATGTGATGTGATGTGGACGATGTTGGTTCATCTCCATACCATCAGCACATCTTCACGAGTTTTGTGATGGATGTCTTGGAGCAAGAGGAGCGAGAAGGAGGGAGGGAGTCGGGGGCGATCGGGAGCGATCGGCCATGTAGTTTTACTGTTGAGCCACTCTGATGGGACTTTGCGCTGCAGCGCACAAGGAGGAGAAGTCGAAGGATGTAGCAGATATGTACATGTTGAGGAAACAAGGTGGTGATTGAACATCTTGCGGAGAGTGAAGAGTCGTCGCCTCTCGACCATCCGTACCGTGTGATGAGATCAACGGCGGTTGGTGATGAAGGCCGTGTCGTCGGAGTATCGGGCAGACGCCTCCCTGATAGCAATGTAGAGGCAGGCGGAAGGAAGGAGAGAGGTGGGAGGAAGGAGGAGGGAAGGGGATGGTAGAATGGGAGGATTAGGAGAAAGGAGGACCAGTTGGAGAATAGAGAATGGCAGCAGCAGCAGCAGCAGCAGCAGCAGCAGCAGCAGCAGCAGCAGCAGCAGCAGCAGCAGCAGCACACAGCGAGGAGCAGGTGGGAGAGGAGATGGAAGTTTAGGAGGAGGGGGGGAGGAGGAGCAGAAAGCATCTCGGTCAGCGATAATCCGAGGATGGAAAAGAGCTCGTTACCTTCCGGAATGATCGAAGTCCATAGACGATCGCATGCTTCCATCCCTATCAGGGTGACTGATGAAACCAGGAAGCATACTGCGGCAGGTGTGAGGAGGAGCAGGAGGACAAGTAGCAAGTTACCCCTCCTCCTCCTCCTCATGGTGCTCCTCCAACGACACGTCGTTGGATCCTAGGCATCTCCTGATAGTCTTTGCAAGACATGAGCATCGGCAGGAGGGGAGGAGGGTGGAGAGCAGAGGAAGAGGGCTGCATGGCTGGGGAGCAGGAGGCCAGAGGAGGAGGTGGAATGGAATGAGGAAGACCTTGTCGACTACAGGAGGGGATAGGAAACGTGAAAACAAGACAGAGAGACGCGGGGTGAGGAAGAGAGGGGC